TGGGAGTCCATTTGCCCCTGGGATCACCTTGCGGCAGTATGATGCATTTGATTACCAGGTCACCAACCTGATATACCTGACGTCTGACCTTCTTGTTGAAAGCTTTGATCATACATTTTTGGTACATCTGACCATGACAGGCAACCGTGAGCCTCTTCTCATCATTCAGGTTCAGTTGGTCAAGTCGAGTCTGAACCCATTCGTCTTTATTCAAACCCGCATCCTTCATGATTCTCAAAGAAGGGATCTGGACTTCAATGGGTAGGACAACTTCCATACTGTATACCAGAGAGAAAGGAGTCGCCCCTATTGATGTGCACATTGTGGTACAGTAACCATGAAGAGAAAATGGTAACATCTTGTGCCAATCTTTATATGTTACCGTCGTCTTTTGAATTATTTTCTTGATGTTTTTGTTAACAGCTTCTACAACGCCGTTCATCTTCGGCCGGTAAGGAGAAGAGTTATGATGTTGGATCTTGAATTGCATACAGAGCTCGGTGATCATTGTATTATTGAGACTGGTACCATTATCTGTAATGATTCTTTCTGGAATACCGTACCGACAGATAAGGTTATTTTTTATGAATCGGGCCACTACGTTCTTAGTAACAGAAGAAAATAAAGATGCCTCGACCCACTTCATGAAGTAATCAATAGCGACGAGGATGAAGTGATGCCCATTAGAAGTTGTTGGTATAATCTCTCCAATAATGTTGATGCCCCACATTGCAAATGGCCAAGGAGTAGTCAAGATGTTCAGAGGAACCAGAGGTACATGTACCTTGTCAGCATAGATCTGACATTTGTGACAAGTTTGTGAATGCTGATAACAGTCTGCTTCCATAGTGGACCAGTAATATCCTGCCCGTAGGATCTTTTTAGCCATTGAATATCCATTGGAATGAGTGCCAAAGGTACCTTCGTGTAAATCAGCCATAATATTTTTTTCCTCATCATTGTCTAAACACCGAAGCAAGGTAGAGTCATGATTGCGCTTGTAGAGGATCCCATTACTGAGGAAGAACTTAGAAGAGAATCTCCTTAGGAACTTCTTATCATTGACTGAATCTCCTTCAGGATATTCTTGGCTTTTGAGATATCTTTTGACTTCATGGAACCAAGCCTTGTCCACTACATCTTCAGTACCAATCTCGTGACAGTATGTTGGCTCGTCCATCCTCTAAATGGTGATCTAAGGAGCCTCATTATCCCACATGACCTTGAACATGGATGACATCGTAGCTAGCGGGTCTGCTAGTTGATTTTCCTCTCGTGGAAAATGCTCAAAAGTAATTTCTTCAAAGTATGGGATTAATGTCAATACATGTTCTTTGTACGGAATAAGATTAGGATGTTTCGTGTCCCATTCTCCTTTGATCTGGCTGATTACCAAAGTCGAGTCCCAAAACACACTTAAAAACTCGATCCTTAAATCGATTGCAGCTTTGAGACCCATGATACATGCTTCATACTCAGCCATATTGTTGGTACAATTGAAACATAGCCTAGCCGTGAAAGGAGTATGACATCCTTCAGGAGATATGATCACAGCGCCGATGCCATTGCCAAGACCGTTGGGAGCTCCATCAAAAACCATAGTCCATCGAGATCCTTTTTCAGGTCGTTCATCCGGTCCAGGTTCTTCATAATCGGTTACTAGCATGATGTTCTCATCCGGGAACTCAAAATTCATGGATTGGTAGTCATCCACAGTTTGATGTGCCAAATGATCAGCTAGTACACTTCCCTTAATCACTTTCTGGGTTGTGTATTGAATGTCGTATTCGGTCAAGATAATTTTCCATCTTGCTATTCTCCCGGCGAGAGCGGGCTTCTCAAAGATGTACTTGATATGATCCATTTTAGATATCAACAAGGTAGTATGGGTCAACATATACTGTCTTAGTCGGTGAGCAGCCCATGCCAAAGCGCAACAAGTTTTCTCGAGCAGTGAGTATCTTGTTTCACAGTCGGTAAACTTTTTGCTAAGGTAGTATATTGCATGCTCTTTTCGACCAGACTCGTCATGCTGCCCCAGCACACACCCCATTGAGTTCTCTAATACCGTTAAGTACATGATCATAGGTCTTCCTTTAACCGGAGGCATTATAATTGGAGGCTCTTGAAGGTATTCCTTGATTTTGTCAAAGGCGTTACGGAAATCGTCATTCCACTTTACTGCTTGATCTTTCTTCAATAATTTGAAGATTGGCTCACAAGTAGCGGTCAAATGTGAAATAAATCTGGCTATGTAGTTTAAGCGTCCCAACAATCCTCTAACTTCCTTCTCAGTGCAAGGAGTTGGCATTTCTTGTAAAGCTTTAACCTTTGCAGGATCCACTTTAATTCCTTTTCCACTGACTACGAAACCTAAGAGCTTACCGGATCTTAATTCGAAAGTGAACTTATTCAGGTTTAGCCTCAGTTTGTATTTCTCCAGCCTGTCAAATAGTTTTTATAAGTGATTAAGGTGTTCCTCCTCAGTTTGAGACCTGGCTATCATATCATCCACTTAGACCTCTATCTCGTGATGGATCATATCATGAAACAAAGCTACCATAACCCGTTGGTAGGTTTCCCCAATGTTCTTCAACCCAAATGGCATAACCTTGTAATAGAAAGTGCCCCACTGTGTGACGAAGGTCGTCTTCCCCATGTCCTCAGGTGCCATTTTGATCTGATTGTATCCGGAGAAACCATCCATGAAAGAGAATACTTTATGTTGTGTGGTGTTGTCAACCAGAACATCAATGTGGGGAAGCGAAAAGTCATCCTTAGGGCTTGCCCTGTTCAGGTCTCTGTAATCTACACATGTACGTACCTTACTGTCTGTCTTAGGTACTAGAACAACATTGATGACCCATTATGGATAAGACGTGATAGCTAAGAAACCAGCATTGAACTGTTTTATGACTTCAGCCTTGATCTTTTCTGACATATACATCCGCATACGACGAACCTTCTGTTTCACTGGAGGGCAGTCCTCTTTTGTAGGTAGGCGATGAACCACAATATTGGTGTCAAGTCCCGACATGTCTTCGTATGACCAGGGAAAAAAATCAACATAATCATGTTGCATCTATATTAACCGTTGTTTGACACTGGGTTCCAAGTTAGCACCTACCTTGATTTATTTTCTGTCCTCTTCATTACCCAAATTCACTGTCTCAACTGACTCCTCGAAGTTTGATGTGATCTTCGGTGATCCCTTCAGGCTTCAATGGTGTAGAACACATGACCTGAAATTCTTTCAAATGTTTGTGTGGATCCTCACCTACAAGACCACTAAACTTGGGCAACAAGTGTATTAAACCCGATTTTAATTCAAAAGGAACAACAACATTATCATATTCAATACACATGCCATTATAATTCACATCAAGGGAAGCCAATTGCCTTAAGGTTCTTTGGCCAGCCATATCAAAAACAAATTCAGAATTCGAAGCAAACAAGTTATGCAAATAGTCAGACTCAGAATCAGACTCAATTGTGGGTGGTGAACTAGTGGTAGCCTGAACTTTTCTACGCCGTGTGTGCAAGGTTTTCTCTACTTTTGGATCAAAAGCAACAAATTCAGAACAACAAGACCTAGTGGCCAGAACTAATACACAACAATGCAGCAACAATGTTCAAAATGCCAACAATGTCCCTAATAATAAAAAACAAACACAATGAAGGAAATCGATTAAATAAAATTCAGAAAAATAAAATAACACCAGATTTAATCTAATTAGGAAAAATAAAATTTTTGAGAATTTATTCGATTTTTTTCGACTCTATGAAAATAGTAAAAAATTCGTTAAAAATAAAAAAAGAATGAATTTGCAATTTTGAGGGCCGAAACCTTGTAGAATTTTATTCTAAAGGACTACTGTTCGTCGATTTTTTTCGGAACTTCAGGAAAAAATTCGGAGCAAATCGAAACAGTAGGTTTCAAACTTACCTGGTAGGTTGAAAAACTGTACTGCAACCGAAATTGCAATCCTGAAAATCAACAAACACAACAAAACAACAAAAAAAAACCAAGAAAAAAATAACAAGAACACTAAACCTATGACTATAATATTAATTAATAACAACAAGAATCTCCGACAACGACGTCAATTTAATCCGCTGTCGCAGGCGGATCAAAAACGAATTATTTTGAAAAATATGTAGTTTAGCGACAGTGACTCGAGTATCGTATCACGAGGATTCTTGTATTGTTATTAACCAACATAAGTGATTATGAGGGATTTAATTCAAAGAACTGAGCAATTAAAATAAGTGATTATAAAAATAAGTCGATCTACTGTTTTCAGGTTCCTGCTAATCATTGGTTTTTACCTTACTAATTCCCTAAGCGGCTTCGACCTCTATTCGATTTCAATATCAATTGACAAGCGCAATAGATATAAAATAGATTGAATTCTCATTCTGAATTAAGCAAACGGATTAATACAATCGTGAATTAAGCAAACACGATATAAAACGCAATTTAACGACTAAGCGACGTAAACAACGATTAAAGATTAGGAATACAATCATACGAATTTAATCAAGACATTCCATGAAATAACAGATTAAGCAAATGCAATTTCATAAAATAGAATTGAAAGAGAACAAAATTGAATTGATAAGTTAAAAACCTCAAAGCATCGGAACACGATTACAGTAGATCAACTCTGGATGATTAGTTCTTCATTCAAGCGTAAAAGCAAAATGTATTTTTTCTGAATAATGAAAAGGTCCAAAAAAAAACAATTACTGTAGCGGCTGCTAGGTATAGCAAGAACAAGAATTCAGTTCATAACCCAACTGGGTCGAAAACATAACTCAGGCCCAAAACAAATGAACCAAAACTTAAATATAAAATGCTACAACTTCAACTAATTTTATGGCCCTGCTACAGTCCGATTCAGCTCTTGACTTCTGAATGAAAATCATATCTCTTTCTCTTAGCTTTCCAACGACTGGTAGCACGCCTCATTCCGACTCCTGTAGCTCAAGTTATGAATTTATTCGTGCAGACTGCTAATGCTGAAAATAAAGTGCGAAAATCAAATAAGAGTAGAAATAAATTAAAATAGAAAAACACTATAAAATACAAAAAATAAGCTAAACAAACCATAGAAATGCATAAGTATAATCATGGAAGAATGTGTATCAAAATGCACTGATCACTTACAGACATGAGTTTCTCACTTCAAGATGACCTAACTCAAAGGCAGACTGATAAATCTTGCAGTCATGAAACATAAGCTCGCAAAAAAACTGAAAAGTCACACATAAACCATTTTGAATCCGAACATCACCCAAATCGTTTCCGGAAATACGTTGCCTCAGTCACAGATCTACCACCGTGAAATTGGACACCACCGGAAAACTGATGGAAGTGCCATAGTCGTCGATGTCTCCCCTATTCGGATCGGTACCCTTCTTCTCCTTCTCGATTTCAATTTGAATCATGTTTTTTATTTTTGTTTGCAAAAGAGATGGGAGTCAAATTTGAGTTCAAAGAAGAAGTTCAAAGAAGAAAAAGGAGAGATGAAGAAGAAAGAGGGAAAAGTGTGAAGAAATAAAAGAGAAAAGATGATGATGGTTCAGAGAATAGAAGTGACATATGTTTTATGTTTGTTCAGAGAGAAACATAATATAAGGGACAACTTTGAAAAGTAAAAAATGAGAAATGATTGTAATTGAATTTGATTTAGTAAAAGAAAGGGCAAATATGGAAAGAGCTTTAAAAAAGCAAGCAAATAAAAAGACATGGAAAAGATAATAATAATTGTATTTGGACTAAGTAACAATATGGTTAGAAAAAGTATTTTTAGGATAAGATTTAATCCCAAAAAGCAATGGTGTTAGATTTTTAGCAAAGGGTAAAAAAAAGATTTTCAAAGAGCTTTATTTTTTTATACGGTAAATTGATCATTCTCATTTTATAATATTAACTTTTAATATTTTATATGTTATATATTATAGAAAATATATAATTTATTAGTATTATTTTAAATTTAATATAAATATAATTTGTAATTTAGATATTTTAAAAATTGATTCAAATTAAATAATAAAAAATTGGATCGGATCAGATCAATTTTTTTTAATTAATCATCTAAAATCAAACTGAAATACAAATAAATTTATCATTAAATCAAATAAATTTTTATCTCAAGATAAATCCAAACGAATCCATAAGTACTCCTGATATTCAAATAACACTCTTCATTCCCAAAATTGTCATGAGAGAAAAAAGAGGGAAGTTTTTGTTCTAACTTACAGAATTCTAATGCTTCTCATGTTTTTCTGAATTCTCTAGTTTTGCACCATTTTAATCTTCTAGCTCCGATGCCATAATATAAGGAATATTATGTAAAAGATCAACCATGCCATATTATAGGATGTTGATTTAGGCTAATTACAGATTTACAGTAAATAAAAATATGCAAGATCAGCTAACTACATATTACAACTATTTCCAATAACTAATTGATAATAAAATAACTATATATTTCCTATTTATTCCCTAAAAGCTAATCTAATTATAAACTTTAGGCATGTGATTATGAATTTCATTTTTTGGATAATAACTATATTATGTAAAAAATTATTTAAACGCACAATTAAATATAATAGAGATTAATTACTAATTCTTAGATATAAGTTTTAATTGGATACCGATAATTGTAAATTGTTTTTTGTTTTTTTTAAAAATAAAATAAAAGAAAAATGTGATATGGTATTAAATACCATTATTTGATTAGATAAATGTATCGATAACTAACTAAATTTAAGGGTATTATAGTATTCAACTTACTATTTATAAAAAAGTTTTATATCATCAATAAATCACAGTCGTATTATATTTATAGATTGTTAAAATAAAAATTAATTATAATATATTTTATTTTAATTATATTAAACAAAGCTCTCATCCACTTCAAGCAAAGTCTTTCATAAATGTATGTGTTGTCTCGACCCGAAAACAGGGAGACCTTATTCCTCTACCTGGCCGTCTTCGTCGAGGCTATAAGCGCGGCCCTCATTCGCGAGACTCCAGACGGGCAAAAACCAGTATATTTTACGAGCAAAGCGCTGCAAGAACCCGAGGTTAGATATTTAACGGGTTGAAAAACTAGCCTTAGCCCTCATCAACGCATCAAGGAGACTTAGACACTACCTCCTGGCCCACATGATCATCATACGAACAGACCAACCCGTAAGACAGCTCCTATGCCGACCAGACATGGTCAGTAGAATGCTGAAATGGCCTTTGGAGCTTTCAGAGTTCGACATCCTGTACGAGAGCAGGAAGACCCTCAAAGCCCAAGCGCTGGCCGACTTCATCGCAGAGATGACCGCTCACGATTCCCCCATAGGGAAGAGGCATAAGTGGACCATCTTTGTGGATGGAGCTTCCAGCTCGACAGGGAGCGAAGCGGGAATCCTCCTCGAGAACAAGGAAGGCGTCGTGATCGAGCACTCCCTCACCCTTTTTTTTTCTGACGTCGAACAATCAAGCGGAATACGAGGCTCTGCTCGCAGGATTAAGGCTGGCCGAGGATTCGGGTGCCCGGGAAATACAAATTTTCAGACTCCTAACTCGTTGCATCCCAAGTGCAATGAGGGTATCAGGCTAAGAACAACAACCTCGTCGAATACTTGAACCTAGTCAGAGAACGGATGAAGAGGTTTGATCCGGCGAAAATCAAACATGTACCTCGCAAACAAAACACACGGGCATACATACTTTCAAAGCTCGCGAGCACAAAGAAGAAATGGGGGGAACAAATCTGTCATCCAAGAATCCCTTTCTTGCTCGAGTATTGGAAAATCCACTATACCCCCCGAGGTGAACGCCATCAGGGACGGTTCAAGTTGGATGGCCCCGGTGTTTAACTTTCTGACAAAGGGAGAATTACCCATCGACCAAAGGGAAGCAACCGCTACTAAACGACGAGCTTGTTCGTATGTGGTGCTCAAGCACAAACTTTATAGGCGAGGATTCTCCATACCACTCCTTAAATGTGTCAATGAATCCCCAATCCCCGAGATGTTACGGGAGATCCACGAGGGAATCAACGCCCAACACCTGGGCGGAAGATCCCTGGCACGAAAGGCACTGCGGGCAGGCTATTACTGGCCCACCATGCAACAAGGTGTAAAGGTACACATCAAAAAATGCGACAAGTGTCAGAGACACACAGACATACACCTTGCGCCCCCACACGAGCTAAAAACACTGTCCTCCCCGTGGCCATTCGCCTGGTGGGGAATGGACATCCTCGAAACCTTTGTACAAGGTTTGTATCAAAATAAATTTTTGATCCTGGCCATCGACTATTTCACGAAGTGGATAAAATTCGAAGCCCTGGCAAGAATCACTTCGCACAATATCCTTCATTTCTATAAGCGGAATGTTTTTACCCGATTCAGGATACCACAAGCGCTCGTCACCGACAACGGGACACAGTTCATCGATCAAGGGTTCCAAGACTTCAACGCCAAGCTCGGAACCAAACAATACTTCACTTCAATCGGACGCCCTCAAACAAACGGGCAGGCAGAGGTTGTAAATAGAGTCATCCTACGAGGACTCAAACATAGGTTGGGTGAAGCCAAAAGAGGGTGGGTTGAAGAGCTACATAACGTCTTATGGGCATACCGGACAACACCACACTCAATGACCGGTAAGACCCTATTTCGGCTAACCTATGGCACCGAGGCCGTCATCCCCGTGGAGATCATGGAGCCATCCAAGTGAACTAAAGTCCCTCTCGACGAGGAATTAAATGATGAGGACCTAAAAGAGGAGCTCGGCCTAGTCGAGGAAATCCAATCAGGGGAAGCTCTTCGCAAAGCCACGCTGAAACAACAGGTAGCCCTTCGCCACGACTACAAAGTCATAAAACGCGAGTTTCAAGCCAGCAGCCTGGTCTTGCGGAGGAATCTGAAAGATTCCTATGAGGGGAAGCTAGCCGCGAACTGGGAAGGATCGTACCGCATCCACAAATCTATGGGCACCGGGGTGTACTACCTCAAACACTTAAATGGAGAACCGCTGCCTCGACCCTGGAACGCTACAAAATCGAAATAATATTACAGCTAAGTTCTTGTTAAAACGACGGGCATTAGTAGTCGACTAGTCCTATCTGATAGACGATAGGACACGCTTGACCACAGAGGCATGTCGAGGTACGGACATAGCCTCCAAACATTAAAAAAAGGTGGGCTTTGTTCATTTCTCGAGCAAAACCTTAGCCCGACAGGGACACCTCGATCGAGCTCTGCTATCGAAGTACCCAATTGGCAGAACACCTAGCTCGTGATGGGCGGTTCATGTTGCGAAGCCAAGATTCCGACCACAATCTTGAATTCGTCCAGTGGATTCCTACACCGCATCCTCGACACATCCCAACATGTGTCGACCACAACCAAGGTCGGGAAAAAAAACTCCAATCATGGAAGTACCAACTTTCATGAAATAAAACAAGTCAAGAACAACGACAAGTAAATATCTAACAAACATCAATAAGGGCATAAAATGAAAGCATTTATAAAACCGACCACGAAGGCCGACGCTGTTCAAATAATTACAAAACTTATAGGCACATAGGCCGCAAATCCAAACTAAAACAAAAGTGGGCACGCAGGCCCGAAAACATATCATATCTTATCCTCCCCGTCACTATCCCCCGCGAGACTGTCGTCAGGTGGATAAAAGATCTTTCCATCAACCACCTGATTGAACGGCCCCACGCCTTCAACCACTAATTTGATCCCCGGGTTCAATATCTTGAGCTGTTCCACGACTGTGTTAAAGCCATAACTGAGGGTATCCATGAAATCCTACTCAAGCACACGAATACGTGTGATTAGGTCTCCCATGGTCGTGAGGGCCTTCCCCGTGTCAGTCTCGTCATCAGCAGGCGCCACAATCCCCTCCAGCTCTTTTACTTTGGCGGCCAACCGCTCGTTCTCTTTATTCGCGGCATCCAATTGAAACCGCAGCTCATTCAGGTCTTTAAGGAGTTGAACGTGGGCTTCATATCTTATTTCATGGTTGAGGATATCGCCCTTCAACTTTTCATTGATCCCTTGTAGCTTATGGATTCGGGCGTACGCTTTGTCGAGGGCAACCTAAGACCCCGCTGCCTCATCATTTAGCATCAAAGCCGTTTCGAGCACCCTCATCACAGCGGCCACATCCTCTGACAAGTTTTTTCTTCGAGTTTTCTTGTCTTCGTACAAGATCACTTCCCTTTCTTCCTCGTGGAGATCTAGAGAGATCTCCCCGCTAAAAATATCATGGTTGAGATAACAGGGAGGCAACACGAAAACTCCCCCGACCCCCTTATCACTTTCGGGCGCAAAACGCTCGGTATCCTCCATGCGTTTCCTTTTTACCGGTTGCTCGGGTGGAGAAACTTGGGTCTTCGAGGAAGAAGGGGAACCACTCACTTGGACATAAGATTTGTCCAGCTCCTGAAGTTGAGCGACCCTATTTCTAGGCCCTGAGGTGGAATCGTTCTTAGGCCTTAACTTCAGTAGATGCTCAGAAAGGGAACCCATCAATCAAAAAGAAATTGTCAGTCACTGGCCAAACAAAGATGATATCACGGGCACGTCCCCTGCATAAAAGCCAAACATATAAAGATATGGTCACAACCATATACCTTACCTAAAAGCCTCAAAGCCTCCTCGTCTGAAGAACAATCGAGCAAAGCTTTCGTATTGATCAACCTATTAATGAGGAGATACTCCCCATTATCATCAAAGAAGAGGTTGTTGTTCACGTCCATGCACCTCGTCGGTGAGAAACTCTTAACATAAGACGTCAGCTTCTCATAGGAGAGCTGATCCTGGGCATCTAATTCCTCAAGTTTCACCGCATAGTACTCGAGATTTTGCTTGAAATGCTTCCACTGCCATTCAAGCAGAAATTTGGCCACCAACCAGACTAATGGTCGACCTTCCTCCATCTCTTCTGAGCAATCGTACAAGGAAGTTATGGCCGCGTCAATGAGAGGCTTCACGACAAAGTACCTCTCTTTGAAATGGAGAACAGATTCCAGATATGGCCAAAAAAGTTTCCCAAATAGTTTAAAAGACACCCAGGTTTGCCCCCCCCCCCCCCCCCCCCCCCTCTGATGGATTGCCTTTGCAAGTGGAAGATATGGAAAAAGAGGGGCAGTGTGGTGCCTATTTGAAGATACTGACAGACGAGCTCGAATGCCTGCATAAAGGCAAGCGCATTCGGGTGAAGTTGAGAGGATGCCAATTGTAACCATTGGAAAACCACCACTTGGAAGTCATTAAATGGAAAATGCATCCCGCCTCCTTGAAAGCAAATTCATACATAGGGAAGCGCTTGCCCGGATACAACGAGCATATCCTTCTGTTTCGATGAGGGACTTGTATAGCCCAATTGGCGGGGCCCCCCTCTGCTCGGACCTCCGGACAGTTAAACGCGTCTGACGCATCATGTGAGAAACACAGCCTTTTATTTCTAGGTTCAGGCGCAACCCATGCTAAAGGGTCCTCCTCGACATTAGTTTGGTCCTCATGATTGGCGGGCACAACGCCCTCCTCGATTGAATGTGCCATTATACCCGAAAAGAAGGGGAAACAGTGAAATCGACATCAACAAATTCACCCTTCCACCGTAAATCAAGTGAAAGGGCGATGAATCCGTCGAGGAATGGACCTCGACCCAAGCCCTCGACTGCCACACTGAGACAAAACGCGTCCTATTCGGGGACATTTGGTCAAATGGGAAAAATTGCCCGAATGCACCCTATTATCCAGGGAGAATGACCCTGGCGCTATGAACTTCATCCACTACCATGAACATTCATGAATGCTCATTGCAGAACCCATGAATGTTCATCCAAGATTCATCCACTCAAGATAAAAACTGGGTGTTTAAACTAAAAGTTCCAAGAAAACATGTTATCAAGAGGATATGACTTACTTGGATAAAGAATGTCTTTGAAGAATTCTACGGAGAAGCTAAGAGGAGGGGATCCACGCGCGAATGGAGAAAAGAGTGCAGAAGAAAACTTGAAACTAACAAATGAACCCCTGGGGTCCCCTTTTAATAGATGGTTCACACTCCACGAGGATCCACATAAAAAGTCATCATTATTTTGGGCTTTTTGAACTCCCCTACAAAAAGATGGCACCCCAAAACAGCTACCACATGGCGTTAACAAGCAACCACGTGCCCACTCTTGAAGGCGGACTTATCCCCGACTTCAATACGAAACATTGTCCCCGAGCACACTAACATTGCACGCTCAATAACGGGCAAACACGCATCCCCGCGACTAAACCTCACATACGGGCACGTTTATCACGTTTCGCTTGCAGGGGCGAGGTAACGCTCAACATCGTAGCGATGCCATGTGAATGGGCACGTCGAAAAAGAAAACTCGGGAAACTCCTAGCATCCTACATATTCCTGACGGACACCAAACAAACAAATGATCTGGTAGGTCGTGCAACTCATATGTTTTCAAGATCCCTGACACGGGTAAACAAATTATCCCCAGTGGAGGGTTATGACTTCCCTTCTCAGGCGGGTGTTCCCCGACAGTGAAGCTGAACTTAAGTCATCACCCTTTCACCTAAGGGCAATAACTTGGGGGACTCCTGTTTTGGACTGGGTCAGCACTTGCCCCACCTTGAGGAGGCCTAATCCAGCGCCTTTGCTCAAGGCGCAAAGGCATGCAACCCAAGCTGGAGACCGTTGGGCATTTCCCCACGTGTCCGCTAGGGAGACGTTGCCCACGTGTCCATATCGTCATCATAACTGCCCTCCGAGAATCACGGATCCAACACCTATTCTCTCGGAGTAGTTGACCAGGGAGGAGGCCACATGTTGGACTCCATACACACGTAAGTCCTGACACTCTTCATTGTTGGGCCTCATCGTGGCCCGACATTAAAGACCTTGGCCCAGCACTGGAGGCTATAAATACCCTCTCGCTTGAGAGGGTCAGGTATTGTTTCATTCACACTCTCATACTCACTTACTTGCATAAGCTCTAAACCTCATTTTGACATCGGAGTGTCTTGCAGGTACCCTCCCTCCCACTTCACCTTCTACTATTGCTTGACTCAAAGCTTGAAGACTTTGACAATCCCTCCTGATCAGGTAAGATCGACTTTATATTTTTTAATTTTTTAAAAAAAGAAAATAAAAGAAAAATGTGATATGATATTAAATACCATTATTTGTTTAGATAAATATATTGATAAGCAATTAAATTTAAGGGTATCATAGGGTTCAACTTATTATTTGTAAAAAAATTTTATATCGTCAATAAATCACAATCATATTATTCTTATAGATTGTTAAAATAAAAATCAATTATAATATATTTTATTTTAATTAATAATTGAAATGATTTTCTTCTTCTTCCGCATTGAACAATAAGTTATCCTTATTGAGTGAGTGGTTGACCATTTATCAAAGAAATAAAATGAAAGAATATAAAAATTTACGAAATTTCTTAAACTTGGCGCCAAAAGTTGATGTATATACGATATAAGATAAATATCACAACGACTCTGAAAACAAAACGTTTCTTCACAGAATTTCTAACAACTCGCAATGTCAGCTACGAAAGCAGCGTCAAGGAAACGAGAATCCGAACTCGATCGCACAAAACCTGAGAAGAAGAACCGATCAGATAAACAGAATTTCGATCTCGATTTGGATTTTGATATATCTGAGTTCGTCTTCACTGCTTTTGATCTTGATTTTGATTTTTCGTTTTGGTTTTTCGTTTGAATCGTAATCAAGTTTTTGACCTAATGTTAATTTGCAGTGATCTCAAAGGAATCGTGTCGGCGCTGAACCTGATAAGAGATAAGGCACAGAAGGACGGCCAGAAGAAGAACGAAGAAACTATTTCTAGGTACCGCGATTGCATTTAGATCTCACTGATACGTTTTTTTCAGTTTTCAGTATAGTGTGAAATTTGAAGATTATACTCGGATTGATTTGTATGTATGAGATGATTTCGCTGATCTAGATGTTTAACGATGCATGTTGTTTGTTTATGTTTCCATTTTTGAAATTATTTTGAAATTTTTATCATCATCTTTTGAATCTGAGCCTTGTTATGGAATTACGTTTCTAGATTGAAATTAGTATAAAATTGGATTCTGATCTAGGATATTTGCGAAATTGGTCTGTAATTGGTGATTTTTGTTTCTGATAGTGTTGCATCTGAGATTAAGTCTACTATTGAGGGATTGAGGACCAAATTTGAGAAGGAAAGGTATTTTGATATTTGAAATCAGTATTATATAATGTGCTAGCGTTTCGGTCTGTTTCCCTGTGCTGAATGAGTTTATTGTTGTTTCAATGTTAGGCAAACTTTTGCTAAGGCGCTTTCAAAGAGTTCTAAAGAGGTTTGTAAAATAAAAAATTAGTTTATGAATGATGCTGACAACTACCGATGAAAAAATTAGTTTAGGAAAGGAAATATGTGTTACCAAAAACTTGTTTAATTCTTGATTTTTGATTACGAGCATGCAGTTTGAAAGTTCCTTGAAGAACGAAACTAGTAAGTTTCAAGCACTTCATGAGAATTTTTACAAAGAGAAAGCCACTTCTCTTCAGGCCTTTCAAGGTACATTATCATTTGAGGATTAGTTTGCATCATATCCTGTGAGATTTGAGCATTTAAAATTTCAAGGTACTATCTGTAACATTATCATCTAAGGATTAATTTGCATAATATCCTGTGAGATTTGAGTATTTAAAAGACTGAAATTAATTGTAGTGTGATTTTGACAGCAGCTGAAATATGTAGTAGTAGTAGTTAGCTGTTAAATTTGAATATGTAATGGCAATTCATCTTTGTTTATTTGATATAATCACATTCTTTCCTGGTTAGATGCTAATTGCTTTTTCCCATCTATAGATATTATTTCCAAATTTGAAGAGGAAAAGGAAAAGCTATTCTTGAGATATGAGCAACTGAGTAAGCTATACATTTTTATCCTTTTATTATTTATGAATGAATAGACAACAAACAACAACAATCTGCATTTGATGATTTTAATTCTAGTTTAACATTTTCTTTACAACTTTTTGACTATTTCAGGGAAGAAGGAAAAAGCTATGATATCCGAACAAGAGAAATCCTGCAATGACAAAATCACCCAACTTGAAGGGTCACTCAAAAAGAAGAAAAAGGTATATTAGTAGTTACTATTAAGCAGCGTGATGTGCTCACATAGGTTACCATGCTTTTCTCATTGATGATTCTTTTGTCATAGGATGATAAAACTTTCAGCATGCTAAGGAAAACTCTAGGATCTTTCTTGGAGAGTACTTCGGACGATGATTTCCCACCTGATGATTGAAGAAGCAATACAGTGATCTTTTGATACAGTTACAATTACTTATTCTAATCATTCACTGGAAAAAAGTTACCGTAGATAAATTGGAGACTTGCCACTCTCTTTGCGTAGTTCCACTTATATTTTAATCCTTTATTACAATCAGCTTTTGGAAAATATACAATACAAATTCTGTTTGATATGTGGCTATGTTAAGAAATACATTTATCTGATTTTAATGCTTTAATACTCCACCTGCTGCTATTTATCCTTTTTTTTTCCTGTTCTGGCTACCATAGTTACTGATTTTAGTGAAATTCCTCCAGATGTTTCTAATCCACATAGTAAAACATCATCAGTTTGCAGGGCAATACAATTTAATCTATACAGCCTTCTCTGACAACATATAAGATATCACTCTGATATCACTAGGATTTTTTTACAGAGAGCCTAATTATAATTACAGTTGTCAACAGAAGCAGATATAAATGTTTTAAAGTGAGAATCACATATTACAGATTACTCAAATAACCAAAATAGAGCCTAACGCTTTAACATGACATTCCATGTGAATGATATGATTGGACCAAACCAAATACAATCCTTTTGCATTATAATCAAGAGTAGATGTGAATAGCTGGAAAAGATGACTAATCACGAACATAAATTGATAATTTACCATTGAATTTCAGCATAATCACTTGCTTTACTTAAAAATTTCCATTGAATTTCATCAGTCACTTACTTTTCCCCTTTACACACACATTCAGGTCTTGAGTATATATTATATATACACGACAATGTTCAAGGGACTGTGAAAAGAAAAGGGGTCACAGTAGGCAGCAGGAACGGAAGGCGGTCAAAAAACTCATTAAATTAATTCCAAAACTTCACATTAATAAATTATTCCGCAGATAGCAAATTTAAGATCTATACATCCCGTTATACAGGAACTTCATAATTTGTCATACAAGAATGACCCGGTTAATAGGACAACAGACAGACCACTAACAGCTAGCTTTGGGAAGAGTTGGTTTACTTTGTTGTACAGACCATGGAGGCCGCTTGTTGTTTGCCTGCACAAAAATCATGAGAATGTGGTCATTTAAATGGAAACAACAGTTTGCCTTTGATTGCACAGTTTATATTGACTTCAAACTTTATTCAGAAAACCACATCAAAAAGAAAATTAGTGAATAACATCAGTTAACATACCCCGATTTCTGTCACAAACCGGCATGATGAACACCTGACCTGTGAAGCGCCATATGGATACATTAGCAATAGCGTACAACTCCCACACTTAACTTGCCCGACCTGATCAGCTGCAGGGAAGAAATGACCTATGATATAAATAGATTGCCACACAAAACGATAATGCATGCCGTATCATGTTTTTTACACAAGATTATTTGCACCAGCAAGCATGCAACTACCAATAGCAGGACTGTTCTTCCCATCATGAAATTGTTTATGAAAGTATTTAATCAACCAGGTGCATAAAAGCTGAACTTAAAGTGCAAAGTTTCACAGAAAATACACGTTCAAGATAAAAAGAAGCAAAGAGAAAGTAAACTTGCCTTCAAAGACAATGTTGACCGTTTGACAGCATGAACATTTGACATGTTTGGCACCTGATGGATACGAAAGCAGACGTCTACAAGAACCACAAACCATTTGAGCAAAACCTGTTAACACATATTTTCTAGTCAAACTCAACAAATTAATACCCAATTCCGTCCCTTGTCAATTGCAGATTGTTAAAATTCCTCTTTGCAATAGTGCTATAGCACAACTATAACCGCCACATGACAACATTTTGTACTAAATACCGTATCTCAAAACAATGGAGTAGGTGTATATCGCTGCTATAGCCGCGATTTGACAACATTCGTTAAAATTTACTTGTCCAATCATTGAAGAACAAAGACTAGAAATAAAACAATGATCGTGCAGTAGGTGATTAATAATAGTGCATAATTTAGAAAAATACAAATTATATAGTAAAATCCATTAGGGTATCTTTGAATATTGAAAGAGAGTGAAGGGAATAGAAAAAGAACGAGGGTGGAAGATTACTATGAGAAATAATAACTGACCGGATGGAAGTGGCTGTGTGCGGTGGGGAGCAGGGATAGGTTGCCATCCGGGTGGTGGGCCGTCGTCGTTGTCTTGTTGGCTTTGCATCGTCGCTGGTTACTGCTTAGTCAAACGCCACCACACTCCTCACTAGTTACTTCACACTAATTTTTAATTGGATTCAATCCATATGATAATTTTTTAGGGAAAAATACACGCACCTCCTCTCCTCGTGATATACGTTAAAATAACGTTAACACTTGTTTTAATTTTTTTAAATATGTATCGATCTCCTTTAAATTCTATTAAAACGACACCGATGTTTTTTATAATTTTTTTGTGACCGTCTAAAATTATAGATATAAATATTATTGGTATGATAATTGATACAACTTTTTTCAAAATTATTTTTATGCCTTTGAAAAGAATGAGACGAACAATGTGACAATTATTAATCAATTTTTTCAATGTTGCTGTTAGTGCATAAAAAAGAGATGAAAGACAAAAAGAATGTATTAAATGACAATTACAAAAATAAGGAATAATAATTTACAATAAATTACATTGAGCTACCCCACTAGACTATTTATACACAAAATAAAATTCTAAATATTCTCTAACAAATATATAAAAAGATATAATAATATTTTCTAAAATGATATTTCTAAAATATAGATTAAATCTAAAATATGTTTCTAAAATATAGATTAGATCTAAAATATATTCCTAAAATATAGATTAAATCTAACACCATCCCTTAATTTATATTTTATCCAAAACTGACAACACAAATTTCATCCCTCAAGCGAAAAATTGATCAGTCTTGATATCATTTGCTAAAACATTTGTCAACTGCTTCTGGATGTTACAGTGCATAATATCTAATATTCCGCTCTGAACTTGATTCCTCGGAAAATGATGTTTGGTCTCAATATGCTGCTTCTCCCATGCAGCACTGAGTTCTTGGCAAGATTGATTGCAGACTTGTTATCAATCATCAGCTTCAGAGGTTTGACTACTTCAATCTCCAGATCTTGCAACAAGTTCAGAATCCACACAGCTTGACATGCAGTCAGTGCGTCTGCAACATATTCAGCTTCACAGGTTGACAGTGCAACAACAGATTGTTTCTTGGAACACCAAGAAATAGAACATCCTAGAAATTTGAATATGTACCCAAAAGCACTTCTTCTGTCCATTCTATCTTCGCACCAATCAGAGTTTGAATGACTCAGAAGTTCTGATTTGATCTTTCTTCCAGACGGAAATGACACTCCATACTTCAAAGTTCCCTTTACATACCTCGGAATCCTGATAACAGCTTGGTAAGGAGACCACTTTGGTTTACTCATAAATTGCTAACTATTCCAACTGCATAGCAAATATCAGGTCTGGTATTACACAAATACCTCAGAGAACCAACAATCTGTTTGAAGGTTGTAGCATCCACATCCTCTCCATCTGAATCAGAGTCCAACTTTTGATTCGTATCAGCAGGTGTGATAGCAACTTTGCAATTTTCTAGCTCAAATCTCTTCAGAAGCTCAAGTTCATACTTCATCTGATGCAAAATGATTCCTTTCTCAGTGTACATAAATTTTATCCATAGAAAGAAACTCATTTTCCCAAGATCTGTCATCTCAAATGCATTCATCCGAATTTTCTTGAACTCGGCTATCTCTTGTTCAGAACTTCGTGTGAGTAATATGCCATCAACATACAAACAAACCAGAATCATATTACCTTCTGAAGTATGCTGAACATAAACACCATACACCATCTCACACTTCTGAAACCCTTGTTCCTTAAAAAACGAATCAATCTTCAAATTCCAAGCACTGGGCGCTTGCTTCAATCCATACAAGGCTTTGTGTAATTTGAACACTATCCCTTCCTGATTCTTTTTCTCAAATCCAGGAGATTGTGATATGTATACCTCTTATTGTAATGGACCATTCAGAAATGAAGATTTTACATCTAAATGCATCAGAGGCCAATTCCTGTTAGCAGCTATTGCAATCACTAGTCTGATTGTTTCATGTCTCGCTATAGGTGCAAACACTTCAAAGTAATCCAGCTCAGGCTTTTGTAGAAAGCCTCTTGCTACTAATCTTGCTCTGTGTTTTCCAATTGATCCATCTGGCTTTAGCTTCTGCTTGAAAACCCATCTAACGCTGATGGCTTTCTTGCCTTTTGAAAGTTCTGTCAGCTTCCAAGTCTTGTTTCTCTCTATAACATCAAGTTCTTCTTTCATGGCCTATAACTAAACTTACTGCTTAAGAGCCTCTTACGTACTCACAAGTTCAGAGTCTACTAACATTGAACACTGAATAACTTCTCATCCAGAGTCTACTTCAGTGTCTTGCAACATGTCAAACTCTATAAATCTTCTTGGGATGCTTCTGACTCTTTGTTGCCTCTAAACTGGACCTTCAGAACTTTGGACACCAGAACTTTCCCCTTCAAAAACACTTGCTTCAGAAATTGGACTTTCTCTAGAACCTTGATTATCTTCAGAGTCTGGATCACCATCGGAGTCAGAGCCAGAATCATCTTTTCCTTCTGTATCTTCTTCAGAGTCAGAGTCTTTATCAGCTTCAAAAACATGTGTTTCCAAATTTTCTTCAGGAGTTCTCTCATCAGAGTCAGGACGAGACCTTTCCCAATTCCAAACTTCTGATTCCTTTACAATGACGTCTCTTCTAAACTCAACTTTGTTAGTTTCTGGACAATAAAGTTTGTACGAACCTGTACTGTGGTACCCCACCAGCAACATCACTTTACTTCTATCATCCAACTTTTGTCTTCTGGCTTCTAGGACATATTTGTAACATATAGAATCAAACACCTTCAGATGACTAACACTTTGCTTATCTCCAATCCACTTCTGAATAGGAACTATTTCCTTCAATTTCTTCGTTGGACATCTGTTGAGCACATAACACGCAGTTGCAACAGCTTCTCCCCACAGAGTATGAGGAAGCTTCTTCTCTTTCAGCATGTTTCTCACTATATCAAGCAAAGTACAGTTTCTTCTTTCAGCAAGATCATTGTGTTGAGGAGTATAGGGAGCAGTAACCTCATGCTCAATTCCATTCTCCTCACAGAATCTTCTGAATTTTGTGGAGTTATACTCACCACCACCATCAGTTCTAAAAATCTTTAGAGTCTGGCCACTCTGATTCTCAACCTTCAGTCTGAACTTCTTGAATTCAGCAAACACCTTGTGTTTAAACTTTATGAGAGGTACCCATGTCATTCTGGTGAACTCATTAACAAATGACACGAAATATTTATTCCCTCCAGTTGATGCTACTGGAAAAGGACCGCACACATCAGAATGAACTACTCCCAAGGCATGTTTTGCTCTTGGAGCTACTTCTGATGCAAATGGTAATCTTGGTTGCTTCCCTTCCATGCACACCTTGCATGACTTTTCAGGCTTCTTGATTATAGGAATTCCATGTACCAGATTCTTTGATTTCAGATGCCCTAAACTTCTGAAATTCAGATGACCATTCTGATGCATTCAGATCATCAGGTTCAAAATCCAACAATAGCACAGGTTCATCATCTTACTCTCCTCTAGCTATATTTGCTTATTCTGACTTCCTTTCTTTGTTTGACCAGTAATCTTTGGTATAGTGACCAAAGTTCTTGCAACAGTAACACTGAACATTCTTCTTGTCAGACTTCTCCTTTCCCTTTTGAACATTCTTCTGCCTATCAGAGTTTGAAGCTTCTGACCTTTGACCACCCTTAGTTTTCTTCCTGGCTTCTGACCAAGTCTGCTTCTGATACTTCTTACCAGAAGTTACTTTTAGAGCATGTTGCTCTACTTCCCTCTCAGAAGTTCTCGCAGTCATACGCAACTCATGCGCCTCTAGACTACTCTGCAACTCTTCAACTCTCATGGTGCTCAGATCTTTGGAATGTTCAATTTCTATAAATATGTAATCAAAATGAGAAGTTAAAGATCTAAAGATCTTCTCAATGATTATTTATTCAGAAAGAGTTTCTCCACAAGCTTTCATCTCATTAGTGATCAAAATCACTCTAGAGATGTACTCAGAAACCTTCTCGTTGTCCTTCATGTTGAGATTCTCATATTGCTTTGTGAGAGACTAAAGCTTCACCTTATTCACTGATGTGTCACCACCGTAACATCTGACCAGTGTGTCCCACGCAACCTTTGTTGTTTTAGAATCAAAAATCTTCTCAAACACATTTACATCCACACATTGATGGATGTAGAACAACACTTTCTGATCTTTCTTCCTTAGCGCCCTATGTGTTATCTTTTGTGCCTCTGTTGCGTCTGCTTATAACAGATCATAGCCATCGGTGACAAGATCTAACACATCTTGAGAACCAAATAACACGCGCATCTGGATCTTCCAACTTCCAGTTTTTGCCATCAAATACTGGAAGCTTAGAATGAACATCACCTTCGTTCCCGTTCATCTTTTACCTTGTTCAATTTATGCATAAACTCAACAAAGAAGTGATTCCCAAATCCCCAGAATCAGAAACAATGATTATCACACAACACCTCACTGTTCTCTCGTGTTTCCCTTTTTCCCGTGAATTTCGAATCGGAGCTCTAGATATCAATTGTTGGTGCACAAAGAAGAGATGAAAGGCAAAAAGAATATATTAAATAACGACTACAAAAATAAAGAATAATGATTTACAATGTGTTGTACCCCAAAATTTGCCCTCCCATATTTCTCAAAACATTTCAAGAAAAATTCACAAGTCCAACCCGGCGCGTCATATTCAGGTGTTCTTTCACCAAGATATATCTGATAACGTATTCTCAAATTCAGGTTCGGCTCAAGAGTCAATTCTTTAAAGAAGGTATCCAAATGTGTGAGTTTTCTCGAAGAAATATGGTGAAAAAGTGTGCTGAAAGTGCAGTATTTACGCGCTAAAAAATTCATAACTTGAAGATCGTGGCTCGTTTTGACCCGTTCCGGTGGCCAAAATTCCGTCTTGACATTATCTATGTTTTCATCTCTCACGGCTGGAAGCCAATTTCGATCAGAAGGTCTTCAAAAATGTGGATTTATCAAGTACTTTCGTACAGAAAATTTGTGACACAAGTT